CAGGTTCTCACCCTTCCGGTGTTACCTTTTCACCGCTAACGGCAGAATCTCAATCGAGCCTAGCCCCGCTGTAAGGTAGGCTCATCATCACAATATGAAATATGACTTGGAATATCCAGACATGACCACACTGCGGAACTACGCACCAAACAAAGTGTCTCGATGATTTTATAGCATGGGGTTATTAAATCTTGTTTCTTTCTTGAGTGTCTAGTTCACGGCCGTTTATCAATACGTGTCGGCCGAGAGCATCATGATGAATCCCGTCAGCACTCCCAGCATAGCGCCGGCGACGACAAAGGCCGCCCATCTCTCGGCCCATATATCTTGCTGTCTGACGGCCCAGGTAACGCATCCGAGCGGCCAGAAGAAGCCCATGGCCATGGCCAGCCAATGCCCCTCGCTGAGCCCATGGTCCTCAGCCACCTGCAAATTGGCCGGATCACTGGCGTTAGAGTCTATCCAGGCATCTTCCATTGTGCGGAGCGAATCGGGGCTTGGGGGCGACGACCGCGATACATGATTGAGGGACTGGAACTGCGTCCGTAGCGTGGCGACCTCGGATGTCGTGAACCCCTGGCTCAGGAAGCGGTCGAAACCACGAGGGCGTGGTCGCGTGGAGGGAACTGGTGTGGAACGACTCATCGTCGTCGCAACGGGCGGCTTGTCTGCCCCCCGAGCTTCTGCCTCGAGCTCCTCCGGGGTGAGTGCATCGCCCAAGCCGCAGCTGATGTATGTCCTGTGCACGGGCTCGCCAACCTTCCGCTTGCCCTTTGGATCATGGTCGCGCTGGGTGTCTTCGCTGTCAGGCACGGAGATGGGTGTGATACAGGAGCTCAGAGCAGCCGTGTCTGGTAGCAGGCGGCCTTGGTGTATGAGGCGAAGGCGGGATTGCGTGTTGAGGCGCTCGCGCAAGATACGCTTCAGAGACAGGGGCGTCGCATTGTGCGGTTCGGGAACATCGAGATCAAGATCGGGATGCGACGTTGAGAACCGAACAGTCAATCGTAGAGGGCTAGTCATCGAAGCTACATCTTTGGATTGGAATGTAATCTGTGACGATATGCGTGGCTTGCGAGAGAACGAGGTCCGGTTTGAAGTTATGAAGCAGTTGACAGCAGTTGTAGGACATGCCTCCAAGTACAAGTACACAAGACGCCAGTGAAGGTGGGAGCTGCCTGGAAGCAAGGGCCTCACCGCCCGCCCTGCGACCGTCATCGCCCGGCAGAATCCTGCCCGACCATCAACATTTCCACCGCGCCGATCTGCTACCGCGTGTACGTTATCTACCTGGTAAAGGGTACCAAAGAACACAAATGCAATCATGATACTACGACGGTCCCGCTTTCTGAAGTGCTTTTACTGCGGGAAACAATCAGACTTCCGGTTTGATGGCACGCAACATCACTTTACGTGCAAACACTGCGATGCGCCAAACCACCTGGACAAGGTAGCAAACAACATGAAGTGCCTCCTTGCATGTGCGCAGGCTGACAACGAGTCAGAATGGACAGATCACCGACCCTCCGACCGCCATCCAGGACGACAGCGCGTACACGAACACTGTTTTTACCTCTACCACACCCATGAACGACAAATCCTCCGCAGACATCTTCTGCGCCACGTGCCAGAAGAACCAGCATCTCTTCGTCACGTCCCTGGCTCAGTACACGTCGAGCGATCCTGCAAACGACAGCGACTTTGGACTAGACAAGGAGTACTATCGATTTCGAAGGGGGCTGGAGAAGCGCTATCCGCAGGTGTGCGAGTCTTGTGCGAAGAATGTCGAACGGAAGATTAGGAACGCCGAATACACAGCCAAGACGGACCATCTCAGGAAAATGACGGAGAAGGGCCGGCAGGTCAGAACAATCTACGCACACAGAACGTGGTTAGACTACGTCGATGCGCTGGGTCGTTGGCTTTGGCGTTTAGGCCTAGGCTCGCATGTATTGTGGCACCTCTTGGGATCATTGGAACTCCTGGCGCAAAGTCCTGATGGAATGTCGAATCCAGACGGGGATGGTTGGCTAAAACATGGTGCCAGTGCCATTGTTCAGCATTTTGTGCGAGACCCCCTCGCCGACGGCGTGCTTCTTCAAGCCAGCTTAGCCATCAGCCTTGCGTCCGCATGGTGGAATCCCAAGTTTGTTCAGGTCAGTCGCGGCTTCACAAGACAACTGTCGGGACTAGGCCACTGGTACTTCTTCCAAGCTCTCATGTGCGGCATGCGGTTCGTGCTGCCGCTCTTGGACGTCAGCTCGCAAAGCCGCAGTGCCCAACTCTGCGTACATCTTGCCATGGCCAGCTTGACGATATTTGTCAGCATTCTGGCTTTGAGGTGCATCAGAACAGACATGACACCAATCTTTGGACAACATAAGCCGCCCGTGGCACCGACTAGTCAGCCAACGTCGGTCCAACATGAGGAACGCGAGGCCAGCCAATCCTTCGCCGAGACACTGGGCGCAGCTCTCGAGGAGACACCCAGAAGCGCTTTGCCTCCGGATGTGGACATGTCTGCCATTCGCGAATCTTCTCCCTTCGCAGCGAGCCCATCACGGCGGGGGTTAGTGGATGGATTTCAAGACGAAGATGCCATGGAATGGACACCAACAAGCGCACAGGCTTTACCAAGAGCTCTGAGAGAGTCACCTCGCGGCAATCACTCTGCTTTCGGCGCAGCTCCAACGGAAGAAGGGAGTCGCCCGTTCTACTTCAAAGTGCCAGAGGCGCCAACATGCCCCGCCAAAAAGGCCCGCCTTCCTGCTCGTCAGCCTGTCATTTGGGGCTCCAGCGGTGGTAATGAGTGGACGCAGAACAAGGGTGTTGATGCGACATCAAGGGCAAGTCCAATGGCCAGCCCTGCCGAGCAGCAATACACCCAGACGAGAGCGAATCGACCAAACGTAGACTTTGCGAATCCGAGATGGCATGCGCCGAGGGAAGGCGACGCGGAGGACGGCGAGCTGGCGGACCTGCTTGTTAAAGGTTTCAGCCTTGAGCCTGAGAAGAAAGGCGCAGGGACTAATAAGAGGTCGTGGCTGGGGCTTTGAGATCGTTGGAGCAGGGACGGAATGAATGACAAAGGGTCCTTGGACGGTCATATCATCAGCTTGACCACATTGTTTTACAGCATGAGAGCGCGGTGTTCAGAGAGGATGCATATATTTTGGGAAGACATGGCATGGGCAAGAGCTGGTTCAATCAATTTGGTGGTAATAGATGGCTGATGAATAACGCATTTGTACTGCTGCAAAATAGTAATGTCCCGTCGTAAATTGAATATCATCAAAAGGAGCCATTGGAGAGAATGGTATTTAATGTAGATAGGGTAGAAGAAGCACAAAACTTCAAAAGAAATTTAACCGCTGTGCGGCTGGCGGATCTCTCCCGCCGGGAATTGAACCCGGGTCTCAAGCGTGACAAGCTTGCATACTGACCACTATACTACGGAAGATGAGCGGTTGTGAACAACCGTTGTAGTGAGGCGCTGTGGAATGGAGGCTGTTCTTACGTGCTATATAGCCAACTCAGGCTCTCTACCTTTAGCCACATCGTCACTCGATCGAGCTCTCCCTGCGTGAATCAGTTCACCAAATCGAGACAACATCCATTGCGTAAACGAGACCAGAAGGCAGAACCACCAGCTATTGCCGCCCTCCCGTGAATGACATTAACCAATGTATCTGTACATGTAAATGCTCAGGCGCCGCTAGCAGATATGCACGCCTCTCAAACCGTTCGCACCTTTGTAAGTACTATGAAACAGGCCACGCCCCGGATGTAGCCTCAAGAATTTCTACAGTGCATGACAACCAAGCTCGCTCATGCCACCTCGGACAGTGAAAAGTAGGTCAGTACGCAGCCAGCATCACCTCGCAAACACCTTGATCACTCCGTCACCTCCTCCGCTCACAACCCACTTTCCATCCTGGCTCCAGACCACGGAGCAGACACCTTCACCTCGCATCAGCCGGTGCGCTGTCATTTCCTGTATACAAGTGCGCTTCTCGAGGTTCCAGAAGCGGAGCGACGCGTCGTGACCGCCAGAGACAAGCTCAAGGCCGTCTGGTGACAGCGAAAGGGACGATATGGCATCGGGGTGAGCTAGCATGTTGTAGGTGCATTGGCCTGCGAGCAAAGGTTAGCTGAGTTGAGGACATTCCTGAATCACACAGGGTACATACCACTGTTAGCATCGAAGAACCGGACGAAACGGTCTTCATGGCCGGTAATGATCGTGCCCTCGACGCCAGAGCGGCCCCCTCCGGTGGGACCACCCGCGTTGTTGTCATCATCAGACATGCCGCTGTGCGCCTGGTCCAATCCCACAGTCGTAGCGACAATGGTGTTGACGCCAGTACGCTTGGACCCGTCATACGTCTCCATGCTGTCCATATATCCCAATTGTTCACCTGTCCTTGTGTCGTAGACGATGACGGCAGCATCCGAGTAGGACACGATGAATGACTCGGCAGAGTTTCCTAGCGGTGAGATTGCCGTGGGACTGGCCGTGGATCCGTCGGGACGGACAATGTTGTGAATCAGTGTGTGGTTAAAGGGCGAGTTGGATGCCATGGTGGGCTGCGGTGTGCTGGAGAAGCCGCTTCCTGAGCTCATCGAGTTTCCACGCACGCGCCCGCCACGACCACTGACACCCCGATTCGCGCCAGGCTGCGGGGAGCCAAGTTGGGGAGGGCCCGTCACGGACCATAGCCGCACGGAGCCGTCAGCCGCACCGGATACCAGCAGCATGCGGTCGGCCGACCCGTGAGGACTCGAGGCGCCAAACACGGAACCAAGCGTGGCTGGCAAGACGCACAGAGCCCAGACCGCATCCGTGTGGCCCTCCAGCGTCGCCTTGGGATCCACCCGTCCTCGCTCCCAGACGCGGATCGTCGCATCTTGTCCACCGGAGAAGATCCAGCCATCACCTTGCGCGCGACCGCCCGCCGTGAAGTTGGGAGCGGGAGACCACGACGCCAGACAAAGAACGGCACCTGAATGGCCACGGTGGGTAAAGTTGGCCGTCACGTCGAGATCAGACGCCGAGTTCCAAGAACCATGTCCGTCAAGTCGCGGGATGTGGAAGCGCTTGATCATGCTGTCATCGCCCGCCGTGCAAATCTCTGGCTCGCCAGGGCTGCCGCCACCAGAAAATATGACAGTTCGGACGGCGTTCAGGTGACCACGAAGACCGTACCGCAGCTTGAAGTTGCCAATCTCAGCCTTTTGGGCGATGTTTGACTCATGCTCGGCACTCAGCCGCCGCGACATGGAGCTCTTGCGCCTGTGTTGGCCAGGAGCTTTGTTGGGAGACTTGGGCGGATTCTCAGCGTTCGGGAAGACATCAGTGTCAGGTCGATTGGACGGTATTTGGGCGCTGCCAGGTTCGGGGAACGTGCCCTCTGGAAATTCCCAGCCCTCAATGTCAGCTGAATGTTTCATGCTGCGCTTGTCTTTGTCCTCGGGGACGTCCGTAGCTGAGCCAGTGTCTGCATGTTCATCCACCACGCGGGTGGTGACCGAAACCGGACCGTTCCAATCGTTTGGGGTGCTCGACTCGACGTTGTAGACTGGGGCGGGCTGGTTGTCGTTACCGGAGCGCGTCATGGGCTGCGCTTGGGCATCGTTTCTTGAAGCAAAGGCATTCGGGTTTTGCTTGGAGCCAGCGTTTACGCCGTGGTTCACAGCTTGCTGCTGCTGCAATTGTTGCAGTTGCTGTTGGGTTTGCTGTCGCTCTACATCGTTCATGTAGTTCTGGGACCGTTGGTGCGCAGGATACTGCCGTTCCATGGCTTGGCCACCAGGGACAGACCCGAAATCTACCTCGCGCAGATCCTCGATAATCGGAAGCTGAGGTGACTCGCGAGGAGGTTGTGGGTTCGCGGGCGTGATCATAAGGTACATGAATTCGTTTTGGCATTGGTCGAGGAAATTCTTGAGGTCCTGGCGTTGGCCCTCGTCGTCGGGTCGGTCCAGTTCGATATCCTCCACACCGGGGATGACATGGGTTTCGGCGGTGGCTGCGCTTTTGTCAACAGGGCACACATTTGGATTTCGAGGGATCAACACGTACATTTGAGCTTGGCCTCAATCTGGGCAGCGCGATCGTTCTTTGCCGCAGCATCGGCATGGGCAGCATCCTCGCCCTTGATCTGCGCCGCCTGGTCCTTCACCTTGCGTTCGAGTATGTGCACGTATTTGCGCAGAGCCTTCTGGGTGGCGTCTGCGCGGCGCGCCTGACCCTCGAGATGTGCGATACGTCCTCTCATCTCCTGCCTCTCAATCTCCCAGGCATTGCGATCGCGTTCGTGACGGTGCCACTCTGTCTGCAAGAACCGCATGACGCCTTGCAGGGTGTACTCTGTGGCCGGGGGCTGGTTATGCCCGTGGCCGGCCATCTGTGACCCCATTCCGTCCAATTGGGCGCCCACACCGTTGCCAGTGATCGGGACCATTGCGATGCCTTTCAAACAAACGGACAATCACGCGGCGTCATACCCCGTCGATGACTTGCGCAGAGGAAAAGAGAGTTTGATTATTGGAAAGGAGCGATCGTAGACGCGCGAGGTATGGCGCGTTTCTCGTGTGATCGCGGGCGACACCCCAGGTCAAAGCTGGAATTGGTGGTCGCGAGACGGGAGGTGCAGCTCGATGGCTGAGGGCGATAGCTGCTGGGGAGGGGGGTATATGATCGAGTCGGCCGGACCGAGCAATCGGAGATGCGTTCAATTCTGCAGGTCACAATTTTGTGGTCATAATCGTCAAAACAGGGGTCGTCAAAGAAGCTTCGTTCGCAATCAAATCAGGCCTGATTGACAATGTTGGTCTTGCGAATGTGCAACTCCTGGAAACCGCAGCAGGTTGCTCCGATGTTTTGCCAGGCTGTCTGTAGACACCTACCCTATATCACTGCGCCCTGCGAAGCACATCGCGCTGTCATTCTTTGAAATGACCCCTTGGGTTGATTAAGTCCCAGAGGATCTGATACGAGAAATTGCTGCTTATAAAATAGTTTTAGTTTCACAGAAATCATAGACCGCTAGTGTTTGTGTTCTAGGTGGTTTGGGTTTTCACAACCTACTGCCCGGAAATCTCTCGAGATGAACGACAAATTTAGACACGCGACCTCAACAGCTTCCTTTTACCACAGACAAAACTTGAACACGCAACGGCACATTGTGCCCAAATCACGGCACAAACATTACCCTAACTGCTATAAGGGCGCAGTCCCAGCCAGGCACACATCAATGTCGTGTCACGCGAGACATGACATACACTCACTGCGTGATTAGCAATTCGTGGCAACGTCACAGCTCGCAAACCACGTTCCAAATCTTCATTCACCACTCATCTCGCGACCCTGCGCTTGGTCGCGATGACCGTACCGAGCTACGACGCGTCAATGGAAAGCCTGAATAGGCCAACTCGACCAAAGGCAGCACGACAACCCATGGGCGACACCTGAGCACAGCTGCCGCATATTGTTCATTCTGAGATCTTCCCGCTGTCCGGAATTGCATCGCAGCCGCGTGCGCGAGTGTGTCGAGGACATTTTGAACGAGCCAGCCGCGTGTATAAAGAACCACCACACAAGATCATCGCTCCCCAGAACAACGTGGAAGAATTGGAGGCAACGCCCCAAAACGAGCACGCGTGGGAGATCGCCTGTCTCACCACGAAGCACACATTCTTTCTCGCTGTTTCAGCTTCATTTTGATTTCGTTTCGGCGCTGGCTGTCAAATCAATTTCTCCTGATTCGCCGTTCGGCTTCGAAGTCATGCCTCAAGAACACCACATTCTCGCCGCAAGTTGGATGCATTGACGACCTGTCCCAGCACCAGCCACGGCTGCTCTTCCCTCCACTCGGAATTTCCTTCGAACGCAAACACAGCCACGCTATATGAACCCCTCAGGAAGTCCATAGTCGTGGTCCTTCGGGTCTTGCGCTGTCTTCATGTTGCTAGTGCCTCAGCTTCGAAAGCTCGACCAATTCGAAATGGAGGACGCTGTAAGGACTCGTCTCGCCACGACCGATCGAAATATCATGTGCATACTCCTCCACATAGCTTCCCTGGTTGAACACTACCATTGCAGCTTTCATAGTGCCAATCATTGGCATGGACCGACCGTGCGCCAAGTCCAAGCCCTGGATGGACCGGTCTCACACTCGAGCGAACCTCATGAAAGTACACGTACACTCGTCCTCAGGGTCCAGATTCGATGAGAGGAAGATCTGCGACACCAGTGATATTGTTTCGCAGGACGGCGTTGCTTTGCCGGGAATTGACTTTGCAAATGTGGCATGCGGGGAGACGACGTGGGTGCGAGAAAGAATCCTTCACATGTGACATTTCCCCGAGTAATGTTGACGCAGTAGCTTTGCTCGATCGCTGCTACGTTGCCCGATTTTGAAGACCCAGGCTGATGAAAGAAAGCTGCAGTACTGCGATGAGGGATCAAGGGGCCCTGGCCACAGTGTGCTGCGTACACCTTATGTACATACTGGAAGCTCATCCTCCACCTTGCAGCTGCGCATAATCGCCATTGTCAAGATCGGCCAGGACAGTGTTTGTTTGTCTCGTTTTATATTGCAAAAAGGGTGTCAAGTCCAGGAAAGACCCTGAATCCAGATTCCAGACCCTGCAGGCTGCGAGACTACAGTTGTCAGTGACTCCCCGGGGATGGGGGGTGGCACGGGCACAGCACAGGCGCCACGACGCCAAGAGCTCGCTAACAAGTCCCTGCCAAGATGGCGGCTGACAATAACTGCCAAGCGAGGGTAAATGTGGAGGGAGGGGAGTGATTGCCATGTGTCGAGTGTCGACACCCTCCGGCGTCCGGACACGCGCTACTCTATGATCGTTCATACCCAGAAGTCGGTGACTGATGGACTGGCGCATTGCGCCGATTTCTCGCGAGGAATAAGCTATGCGTTAAGCGGCAACAGCTACCTGATCTTCCAGGCGAGGACGAGAAGGCAACAGATGCACGCGCAAACGTTCACCAAAGCGCCAAATGCCCTGGAAGCATGAAGCAAGACAGATGTCGGACTGGGCGGGGTTCATACTCATACCGTCTATACAGCTGGACATCTCGGCCCACCCGCAATGATGCTGGGGACGGCATTGGCGGATCAGCCGAATTACGGGTCGACATTCCTCAGGCAAAGCTTCACAAACAGCTTTCAAAGTTTAACGCGGAGCATTGGTCACATTCAGGGTCCGCAGCTCAGCAAGCCTAGGGTGGCGCAGGCGGGGTATACTTAGCGTTTGGCATTGAATTGGCTCGTCTCAGCATGCGTATAAGTAACTTCTAGGGGTCCAGCTGTTCAACTTGTCGACAAGGTCAACCCCGATACACGCAAGCGAAAAAGCAGCATCATAGAGACAGGATACACTGGGTTGATCAAGTTCTTAAATGTACGACAGGTTGAATACAGTGGGCGTGGGATGTGTATAATTCAGCTGATTAAGGTTCATGAGGGTGTCGTTGCAACTTTGAGTTTTCGCGGGCACAAACTCAATCCCCTATATTCAAGAGACGAGGCCCCAGCCAGGGGATACAACTGATCTTGGGCAAGTGCATCTTGAGCATGGAACTGGATCTGGGCAATGTTACACTCTATAATCTCCGCTTTACGCCGCCATTTCCAAGTGACAGCAACGACACGCAGCTTGTATACGTGGTCGATAGGGATAGGGGGAGGTTCTTACCTCATTACATGTGACATTGTGGGCTGAGGGTGCTCAATTGCCATTCGGAACTCGGTACAGAAATAGAAAAAGGCGAGGCACCTGTCAATGCACCCTTTAGCACCGGACCAACCTTATTTTCGAACGGCAAGCTGGAGGCGGGTAGATATCTCCTATAGAATGGCCAGACGGGTTGAGCTTGCCATGAATAAGGATCATAGCACTGAATCTCTGACTGGTTCACGGGCACAGCACTGCAGACGTGCCAGATTCTCGAGTGGTCTCGATTTCTCGAGAATCGAATCGACCTTCAAGGACCAGACTGTGCAGGGTGGCACTAGGTGACTGTACCACAGGGAAGGCTTTCAAGCCACTGGACGGGACCTGACAATGACACTGGACGCCGACGAGGATATGGGCAAATCCCCAGACGTTATGGCCTGACCAACATGAATTCAGCATCGGGGCTTTCTGAATGCACATGTAAAGTAGTACGTTTCTATGCCGGGGATTATACTTTGCGTTCCGTTCCAGACCCCTTCAGCTACCTGCCCCGAAGCGAAGTTGGTCAGGGAGGATGCAAAGTGGATGCTCCCATGCCAATCTTCTTTCACTAGTGAGTGTTGCGCCAACACATCATAGACTTCTGCAAACGGTAGAAAAGAAGCATGCTGTCAGGTGGTTGTCACACGGAGGGGGTGACGGCTGGGTGTGAGCTTGAGATCTATAAATCCAACAGCACGCAGCCGTTCATGTACTAGTAGTTGGGAAAATCACCAGCACCTATTCGCTTTGATCTAACATTTGACACTCACTATGAGGAGCTTCAATCTCCCCCCCGAGGCCCCGTTCGGCTCGATGCCATCATGGACTCGCCATATCATCGTCACCATCTTTGGCGAGTTCTGCGGGACGTTTTTGTTCCTTTTCCTCTCCTTCTGTGGAGCACAGACGGCGTTGGACACGAATGATCCTCTGGATTCAGAGGCACCACTGCTCCCATTCAGTCTCATGTATATTGCCGCCTCCTTCGGCGCATCCCTAGCCCTCACCGTATGGGTGTTCTTCCGGGTCACGGGAGGAATGTTCAATCCCGCTGTGAGTATCCGTCTCAAATCCGCGAAACAATCTCTAACTGAACAATAAAGGTTACTTGGGCACTGATGCTTGCTAAAGTAGTGAAGCCGGTGGCCGGTTTGGCCATCATTGCCACGCAGCTCGTGGCAGCAATCGCAGCATCCGCCGTGGTCTCAGGGATCCTTCCGGGCCCGTTTACTGTGGGCAACAAGTTGAACAACGGAACAAGCATCGCTCAAGGTCTCTTTCTCGAGATGTTCATTACTACACCGCTTGTGCTGGCCGTGCTCTTCCTTGCCGTCGAGAAGCATCATGGTACCTATCTTGCGCCGGTGGCGATAGGCTTGGCCGCGTTCATCGCGCACATTGTAGGGACTCGCTACACGGGAACCTCAATCAACCCAGCGCGCTCCTTTGGCCCAGCTGTCATCACCAGCTTCCCAGGCTACCACTGGATCTTCTGGCTGGGACCACTGCTCGGGTCAACCCTCGCCTTTGCGGTATATGAGATACTGAAATGGTGCCGCTATGAGTACGTCAACCCGGGGCAAGATGCTATCGATCTTGAGGAGGCTGCGAGGGCACTTGAGGCTGCCAAGCTTGCCCACCAGACCTCGGGAACTGCGAGCCATGCTTCCCGGACATCCCCGCAAGGCGAGCGCCAGTGATGGAGGCCAGATACGGCATTCGAGAGTCTTGCACTGTACGTTCATGACCAGGGTATTACAAGCCCCGATGCTAACCTATCTCATCAGGTGGGGTTGAAGTGCCCCTTGACAGATGCTGCCAACCATACACAGTAACACTGTAATACCATTTGCGTCGTGGAAGAGGCCAGGAGGACAGTGTATTGAGTCATCGCGTCCTGCATTCGAGCGCGAGCGGTGATCATGCCATTGATATTTGTCATGCTCAGATTCTATGTCACCAATGGAAATAATCTCCAAGACAGTAGAGGTCAAATATTATTGTGAGACTTTTTAGACACAGAGTTCTTACGTTCAATTCACATTCGGTTCGAGGTAATTGTCAGCCTGCAACCATCCATGCTGGAACTGACATTCAGAGCGTGGACTCGCTTAAACCATCTCAATGATATCGTGAGACCCGTAGCAATGGAGTTTGGAGCGGACTCCGTGATGGATAGAAGAATCTTTAACACCGATGACTTTCAGAAAGAGCAAACCCAAGGCTTTCCAAGATAGAAAAAGTCCCAGAACTCAGAGGACTGTCTAGACCAGCACTTTGACCTCCCTAAAAGGGGGCACTTTGAATCTTAACCCGCTTGATGCTGCTGCAGGGTGGCGGAGATACTGCCGAATCCAGCTGCTATCAATCGCTCACACTTCAGCGGGCCGACATGTGCAGGTCATGCATGAGCCTCAGACCTTACGATAACCCCTGCTTTGGAAACCCCGCGTTCTTCAGATGGACTGCCGGATTGAGGCTTGCCTCTTGAACGGATCCAGCCGTGGAGCCTCGGATGCAATACTCTATAATACATCTGATCTAAGGGTGTTCAACACGGCCGAAGGGATGAACTGGCATCAAACTGGCATGAGGCTTCCTTGTCACTCAGCAATTAGACACCGATCCTTTTCCAAGAGTCTCATATACTGGCAGACATTTCTAAGTAACTACAAGGTCATCCGCCTCGAGGTCCGACTGAGGACAGATTCCGTGCATCTTTACACCTGTAGTTCGATGATCTCATGTCTGTACGTTCCAAGGTTTTCGAACTCCAGACTCAAATGCTCGGTAGTAGTATCTCTGGGCTCCCGAAAAACAGGATGCTAGTGGTGTTGAGATCCTGGGAGCTGAATCAAGCCCTGCACTTACAAGCCCACGCTCCAGTCGACAACCATTGTCGTCGGCCCGTAGCTGATGCATCGGACACATATGTCACGCACAATGGCAGGGGCTTTCTCACACACTCTCCGACACCTTCGTATTGAAGTTGCCATGTCAACCCCGCTTCACGGACGTGCTGCAGCCGAGGCGGCACATTATTGGGCATGAAACGATAGTTCCAACGTCTGTTACCTCTTGACTGTCAACCCCTGTCGGTTGATCGGAAGAAACCCAAACTGGGCGGCTCCATCTTCTGAACTTCCATATTGAGCCACGTGTAGTAGAGTCTTCGCTGTCAACTGATCTTTCTTGCCCCTGCTTGCAGTGACCCTCTCTGCACGTCGGCTCGGGCTGAATGCAGTGTCATGTACATGTAAGAAGAGTACTTGTATACCATCATACAGCCAAGGCCGGGCTCCGACGAAAAGGCTCCTGCCACATGTGGTTCCTCTGACCCTCCAGCATTATCGCCGCCTCCATGTCCTCAGTGCTCGCTTAACTAAATCCGTGTACTCGGTTCGTCCCAGTCACCATGAAGCTGCTTGTCTGCTCATAGACGCCGTAAGAGTTAGACGTACATGCGCCAGCTGGATGATGCTCGGAAACGTCTCAATCCAGCTCGAAGCTTGCTGACCAAGGCCCTATGCCCATTTCAGTATTGCTATTAGCTATGATACTGGAGCCAGCTCCCATCATAGAGGAACCTGAGCGTGGTGCGCCCCTCTCGAGAGGCGGAACTTGGTAGAGCAGCCGCGCCTGTGGCGCCTGTCCGTTTTTTCGAGGGGTGAGCTTGCATGAAATGATGCAGTGTGTGTTCTCTAGTGAGGTGGGCTATGCAGCAGATGCAGACATTGTTACAGTCGGCAATTGTTTGGTTGCCCCTAGCTTTCCGTGTAGATGCCTATCTCAAGGACGACGCCAGACGAATGACAAGATTCGTCTAAATCTTGGCGTGCAACTGCCGATACTATCAATTGGCAGTGGCGAGGAAGGTACCAAGGAGCAGAAAAACACCCGCACGAAAGGTTTTCACCGTATGGGCTGAGGATGTATGCTTGATTCCCCAGCCGGCAGCCGCTTCAAGGAGGGGCGGAACGTGGCTCGACCCTCGGGGATATTCCATGGCTGGTGTACATATCAGGCACGTTCCCGCCACGCGGTAATGCAGATTGATCTTCCTCTCCAAAACTCCCCGGTTTGAAGTTAAATTAGCTTCACAATGCTTCTATTTTGGATGCTTCTACTCTTCGTGGCGACATTACCCACGGCTCTTTGTCAAGGGACACCGGATGTGGCCGCGGTCTTGGACGAATATCCCAAATGTGCTGTAAGTGAGAATCCTTCAACGACACGGGCCTTCACTAACCTGCTTCAACAGCAAGGTTGTATCGTTGATGCATTCTTCTCGGGCATATGCGGGCCAACGGACTGGTTGTGTATTTGCACGGACCAGGATTTCCAAGGGCTGGCCATGTCTTGCGTCGCGAAATCATGCACTATCCCGGAAACCCTGAGTATGGCTCTGTTATCTCCTCTGTTAGAACATCACTGACAATACAGACACACAGAATATCACGGCCACCAATTGCTTCGCTCCGGTCCGGGACAACTCCCACCAGCACGTGGTTTTGACCATTGCCATGGTCACAATGTCCGCCGTGTTTTTCTCCATTCGGTTTTTCTACAAGATCTTTCTACGAATTGGATTCGGCCTCGACGACTACCTGATACTAGCTAGCTTCCTCGTCACTATCCCCTCTGCTTATATCACGCTTGCTGGTACAACGAAGCACGGTCTCGGGAGAGACATCTGGACAGTCTCCCATGAGAACATCAACACCATGCTCAAGTACTTCTATAGTTCGGTGAGCCTTTACTTTCTAGAGGCTGGCCTCATCAAGCTGAGCTTCATCGCCTTCTACGTACGCATTTTCCCTCGAAAACCAACGCAGCGTCTCTTGTGGGGGACATTCTGGTTCACAGCCGTTTGGACCCTGGTCTACATCATCGTCGGTATCTTTCAATGCCGACCTATACGCTACTTTTGGCTGCAATGGGACGGCTTGCATGAAGGCAAGTGCATAAATGGCAACAGGCTTGCATGGTCCCACGCAGCGATCAACATTACGCTTGATCTATGGATGCTTGCCATCCCACTGTGGGAGTTGCGGTCCTTGCAGCTGCACTGGAAAAAGAAGGTTGGCGTGGCAATCATGTTTTGTGTCGGAACTTTGTGAGTGCCTTAGCTCCTGTCAAGCAATAGCCTTTTGCTGACACGCCTGTACAGTGTCACTGTCGTGAGCATCATGCGATTAAAGAGCCTCGTGCATTTCGCTGCCACAATCAACGCCACTTGGGAGATCCACGGTATCTCCTTTTGGTCGACTATTGAAGTCTGTGTTGGCATTGCATGTGCTTGTCTACCGAGTGTGCGCCTGCTGCTCGTCAAACTCTTTCCTGTGCTGTCTGGCACAAGGCGCGCCACGGCGTATTACGAGGACCAAAGCGGTGGAAGCGCAAAGCGATCCAGTGGTCGGAGAAGCAGGGGCCTTGCCATCGTCATCGCAGATCAAGAGAGAGGCGGGAGCATGCCATCCTCGGCGAGCTCCGCTGGGGAAACGTGGGTGGATTCCAAAAGGGGCATTGTTTACCACCAGACATTTACCGTCAAGTACAGCGAGAATGACGAGGTGAGCCTGGTACCGATGGCTCATCTGGATAGCAATGGGAGACGGAGGTACTAGCAAATGAGCATCCAAGTCGAAGATGGTGCACAGTTATTTGATGTCCTCAGTCACGTAAACGACTTCAACTTTAGAGTGAACTCCGGACGCGGAGAGGCATGGTGAATTGTCACAACAAGTCGACGATTACGGCCTTGAAGAACAGTGCTGCTCGCATATCGGTGCATTATTAGGTACTAAAGTACTGAACACTATCGAATGCAGCGAAGCTCTGGACGTCGTCGATACACGAAGTGTGAGAGATGTCTCCGTTGTGTCGCAGCTGTGTTTGTGATCACCACTTGTTCCCGTCCGGTCTCATTGACTGCGGGGGTCACTGACCTAGCTGAGGAGGGTGTGATGTGCGAAAGGGGCATCGTTGCAGGACACAGCTCCCTCCTCCCATCGACCAATAATTGCAAAAGACACACCATGGACGTCTCGGGTTGGCCTCATATCTGGGTCTTCTGCACTGGGTGGGTTGCAATGTTCGATGTGAACATGTTCCAACTGACAGTGTGATGCCTCTGAGGGGGTCGTCGGCACGTAAACTGGATGAGTGCTTCGTCAGGGCCGTCTGCATTGTGAATGAATGATGACTCAGTCGCGAACGAATGTCCGCGACACTCAGGCAAATGTTGCTGCAGGTTAGAAGAACATTAGAATTCGACAAGACGCAACATCTCCTCTGTAATTCAAGTCCTGGTGGCTCCATCGACAATGGTTTGACACTTGGCTGGGAGCCCTTGATTCCAGGAGTAGTTTTGGGTACGACCGCACTTTGAGTGACTGTGAGCGACTGAATGAACAAAAAGCGCAACTTGCCTCCCCGGAACGGCTTAAGAGTTCTTCTTGATAATGTAGGCAGGCTCGTACTGGCCGACAGGCGATTCGTCCGTCGTTCCGTTCCAACAGTACCGGTCAAAGCACTGGCTGCAGCCGCGAGGCGGATTTTCCCCTGCTTTCCACCAGCTACGGCTCATGATAGCACAAGCGACACACGTGGGCCACTCGGCGTCAACGGTCCCGTTCCCCTGGGTTGCACCGTTGAAGCCATTGAGAATGATCGCGTCGCGCTCATTATCTGAATAGACCAGATCAAAAGTTGACACGTTGCTATGCGTCGTATACGGAGCATTCGGGATATAGAAGATGAGGGGCGGGACAGTTTGATTATCAGTGAGGGTGAAATTGGTGGCATTGCAGCCAAAGAGTGTAGGGCGCTGGTTGAGGCCCAGGTTGATGAAGGTCTCTGCGGAGGGCACGGGGGGGAACAAGGTGTTGTTTCCAATGTCCGACATGGACCGGTTGTACGACGCTCGCAGGGAGGTCCCATTGGGCCAGTTCGTCTTCGTATCAGCAGAGGAGTCAATAGCGAATATGATATCAACGGACCGCGCTGGTTGGATCAAAGGATGCAGCGGTATGTTCTGACCATCCTCGCCGCCGTCGACAAGAGACAGCTGGTCCTCTTTGGCATTCGAGTTATTGGAAGTCGGGTTCCACCCGAAGAAGGGGTTAGGCGCGTAATTTGCAACGTCATTCTCCTGCTCGTTGAAGTTTTGAAGAAGCTCTTCGATCGCGTTGGCCACAAATGATGCGATGCTGCTTTCATTCCCCGCGCCGCTAAAATTGGCGAGCATAACCGCGTTGAAAAGAGAAGACGATGTGCCCATCACGAAACCTAGCTGATCAAACCCCCGGACGCAGTCTCCTTTGGACGATATGGTGCCATTGGTGAAGTTGGAGGCGAGCCATTCAAGGGGCGCAAATCCGTACGTGGTGTCATCCCATGATCCCAGTTCAAAGGGGTTGAACTCGTATATAGTCGCATTCGGGGCTGCGACAAGCTCGCCAGTCCTCCGGCCATCTGCGACGAGTATGGGGCAAGGCGTTGAGCCATTCTCGAAGTTGGAGGTGTTCGCAATGGAGGAAAATGTGTATGCTTCCCCTCCGTCGGGCGTTCCGACAAGCTGATAGGATAGGGCACGACCCCAATAGTCCGTGATCGAGGTATCCCAGCCGGCGGCTTTGCTGTCAACCGCTTCTAGTATATCTTTCCAGTAGTTGACCGTGTTCAGGATTCCGATGCCACCTTCCTTCGGTCCCTTGAAGATGGATTGATCAAATTGCCAAAGGCCTGTACCTTTTCGCCCTCGCTGAAGGGAAGGAATGGTGGAAAAGTTGTTGGCGAACATAGATCCGACCAGCCAGCCACCTCCGGACAGACCCGCGAGGTAAGTGGTGGACTGTAGTAGGCCACTGACACTTGAATTGTCGTTGTTGCGTGAGTCAGCAGCAGAGATAAAGCCAGCGCCATTCATGAGAGCGCGATAACCCCCGCCGGAGGCTGCAATGCCAATGTTTGGGATGGCGGTGAAGTTATCCCCAGCCTGACGAAAGAACGATCCAACATTGAAATCGGTGATGTTGGCCTTTTCAAGAAACCGACGCATAGGTGCTACGGTGATATTCCGGCGACGGGATAGCCATTGTGACTCGTCATCAGAGAGATTGTTGGCAAGACGTACTGTTGGTTTCGTCTTGGGACAGTCAACCACCTCTGGTGCATATCCGCCGCTTGGGGAGTTTGGGAGCGCACGTTCGACCAGCAGCCCCAGACCAACCTGGATGAGCAGGGAGCTGAAGAGCAAAGAGAGAAGGGTAGTTTGCATCATTTCGGGATGTATAAGAATCTGACCCCGTCATGGAGGACAATCACGTCGAGCAAGGATGATCTGGACGTCTCAGACTGCAGCACATGAACCGCTCCCGTGATCCTCTATATGCATGTCCAAGCACGCGGAACCCGCGGATGCGTGACGAAAGAGTATGACGGAGGCATGGGGCTCAGCATTGGCTAGCCTTACGGTCTATGTACCGTGGCCGGCAGAGGCTGCCGAAAATCAAGAATACATGTATTCATCGACGTGAGGGCTGGACTTTGTCCCATATACTTCGCACCAGAGGCGTGGCCAAGCGAGCGTTGCGAGCGATACGAAAAGTCGAGAAACATCGACTCCGCTATTGCTTGCTTGCTCTTGACAGAAGAGTTTGTGGTGGTGAAATGTTGAGAGACATCTTGTCAGTTGACACAAAAGGGCTTTCAGCCTCCCCGGATTGGGTGCCTTGCATCGCACATGTGTGTAGTTTATGACGAATGCAGGTGAAGCATTTACATCTCCTCTATCCACTGCAGCGCAGACTCGGACGGATGTTGGAGAGGAGGGAAAAGCTGCAGCAGCATTGGATCCACTCCTGAAGTCTGCAACGCGGCAGGTGCTAAGGCGGGCAATCACTCGCGTCTAGGGCACTATGACGACACCTACCCTCAAATTCGTTTACCCCACCTTACCCTGCACGGAATTGGATCTTCCTCACATTCCTCATCCCGCTGCTGATGAAATTGACCTTCACAACAACCAAGCAATCCAGCAACCACAGCATCATACCACAATTCTTCGGAAGCAATCATGTCCGGACGCATCCCAACATCGACCTCGGTCATTGAGTCGGCAGTCATTGAGGCGCCTTTCAGCAACGTCTGGCACCTGCTCAAGCTCCAGGACTTTGCCAAATTTTACAGTGCTTTGGACAAGAGCGAGTGGGTCAAGGGCGCATCGCCAGACACTGACATTGTCAAATGGAGCTTCAAAGACGGAACCGTCCTCGAGGTGAAGCAGGAGGAGCACTCTGTATGACTATTCACTCTGCGAACCCGCCAATCTGGCCCTGACTTTTTCCCAGACAATCGACCACTACATCACTTACAGTGTCATTTCGTCCCAGCCCGCCATTAGCTACTCGTCGGTCGTCAGCACAGTCAGAGCCTATCCCATCACTTCCGGCAGCCACGCAGGCCACACCTTTGTTACCTGGAGCGGCAACTTCTCAAGTGACGCCGATGCTGGCAAGTTCCCATGTCCCTTACACGATTCGTTACTCACAACATAATCCTAGGTGTCATTGAGGATGCCAAGTTCAAGCGCCGCGAGGCCCTTGCGGATCTCGCCAAGGCTGTCTCGAAGAAGTAAGGTAACAAGGGAATGCGAAGACTGTGTCTCACAGAATGTCCTACTTTGAGAACACGCGCGTACAAGTATTGTCAATGAGCATGCACGCCTTTTACGGTTCTTGTGCCTTCCGCTAATAATCGAGTCACTATCAATTCACGATACTAATATCAACCGCCCCAGAACACATGACCTGCCGTGATATGCTGGATCGTCAGGTTCGTCACGCGTAAGTTTGCGGTCCCTGTGGGAAAACTTGCCAGATACACTGCGCTGGTCATTATTTCATTTCTTTGCGACTTCGCTCTTTGCTGCGAGTCCTGTATGGAAACCACCGTCTTCTCCCCGGAATAAACAACCCCCTTCGCTGGAAGCAGAACCGTTGCCAACGACAATCGCTGGGTTGCTCACTGCGAACTCTCTCACGGACTCGGTCGCACCCTTCTCCACCACTTGGGGTGTCGGCTGTGAGCTTCGTACATTACGGCATGAAGCTCAATTGGAGTCATGGAAACGAGACTGATGGTAGCATCGGCAGCATGCACGACATTTATCTATCAGAGCTTACGCATGGATCTGGCGCAGAGTGTTCGAGGCAAAGGCTCCGGAGCCTGCAGCAGACCTGGACGTGGGGTTAAAGATCCCAGGCGAGCTGCAAGTCAACACGAACCATGGACACAACGGTGATGTCCGTTCGCGAGGATACTGTGCGTGGTTGGTCATATGTTCCTGCAGCAATGTGGCACCGACTCCGATAAACGGACTGAGGATTGAGGAGAAGTTTGCTGCCCTGTGAATTGACGCTGTGGATCGACCCACGATCTCCTCCCCGACAGTAAGCGGCGAAGCGCAGTCGTGCAGTTCTACCAATCTGTCCATGATGACTTGCGACAGGACAACTCAAACTAAAGATCTTGTCCATGTCTTCTTGTCTTCAAAGTTCCCTTGCAGCAAATACCCTCAGAATGTCTCCAAAAGTCTTCATCGTTACCGGCGCCAGCAAGGGCCTCGGCGCAGCCATTACCCAGCGTCTGCTCAGCCAATCTCACAAGGTTGTCGTTGTCGCAAGATCTGAAGAGCCATTGCAGGCTCTCAAGAGAGCGCACCCTGACCGGGTGGAATACGTCGCAGGCGATATGACAGACACAGCGGTATCACACCTGTCGGTCCCAAACGATGGTGATATGCTGACTGAAACTCAATAGATTGCTGGCAGAATCGTCGACGCTGCGGTCAAGGCCTTCGGCCAGATTGATGGCCTCATTATCAACCACAGCGTACTTTCTCCTCAGAGACTTTCTGATGTCCCGCTCGAACAGTTCCGGCACATCTACGACGTCAACGTGTTCAGCCAGCTTGCAATTGTGAGGCATCCTGGAGCTTTTGTGAAATTATGGAAACCGCTGACGCCTTAAAGGCACAAGCTGCCCTCGCAGAGATTAAAAAGAGCAAAGGGACCATTCTTTCTGTATCAACGGGCGCTGTGAACATGTCCTTCGCCGCGTGGGGATCCTACGCTTCTTCCAAGTCAGCCGTCAATGTCCTCTCCGCTCACCTTGCGGTCGAGGAGCCAGATATCACCACCATTGCCATTGATCCAGGTCTGATGGACACCGACATGCAAGCAACGATTCGCTCTGAAGGCAAGGCTAGCATGAGCCAATCTCAGCACGACATGTTTGTCGGATTCCTTGATCAAGGCGCACTCATGAAGCCAGAGCAGCCAGGCAATGTGATCGCCGCGTTCGTGGCTGAGCCTTCGAAGGAGCTCAGTGGGAAATTCTTGCCGTAAGTATCCCAGAAACCCGAGTGACTGGCAGATAGTGATTATATCGCAGCTGGAACGCGGAAGAGCTGGCCAAGTACCAGTAGGGGCGTCACACACAGCATCCAGGCAGGCCGATTCGCCATCCGAGACTCTGCGTCAGCAACCACTGCGTATGTGGCATCGACTCTACGACAGTTTGCAACGAGCATGTACAGGCTCGATCCTCTAATAAGCGCTTGTCTGTGGACGAAACATACTTTGTCAATTCACTGGCTGCTGGCGCCTTTGTCGTAGCAGTGGCGAGCGCAAGACCTGCAGCCTTTTCAATGAATTGTTTCCAGGTGATCGTTTGTTAGGAAAAGGAAAGCAGTCAACCAAAATTCCATGGCATGTAAAGGAATAGTCAAGAAAATTTGGCAAAGAGCAACATCTTCACCAAATTCCGCATTGTGGCACCATCTGGTGAAAAGCAAGCAAGCGTAGCAGGCCAGAACATCCAGCAATGACAGAGAAATGGACGTCCATGCATGCGGATTTTTCAGAATTTTGTAGTTTATACTGCCATTCTAATAAGATGTTATTTAAAGACCTACGTGGATGAACGGCACGATGGCTTCTGTGGGGAAGCTCACTGTTAGAATGCTTGATACCCCGGGTAGCTAATGGCGGGGGGGGGGGGGGGGGGGGGGGGGGGGGGGGGGGGGGGGGGGGGGGGGGGGGGGGGGGGGGGGGGGGGGGGGGGGGGGGGGGGGCG